AGTGTACCTCCCTGATGTAAATGTTCACCCCATATGCCTGTCTGTGGTTTGGCTGGAGGCCACAGGTGTGCGTTCAGTTCCTGACCTGAAGGGTTAACTAGGGGCTATAGTCTCAGGGGTCTCACCAGGCTCCATCAGACCAGCAAACCTGGTCTTTTTTTTTTTTTTTTTAAATGATTCTGAGTTTTGTTCCACATTGTTCTCCCATTCCATCCAGGATCTCCTGCACTGATCCCTTTCTGAGTAGTTGAGAGTGATAGTGGGCACCATCTAGTTCTTCTAGTCTCGTGGTCGTGTAGACTGAGGATTGCATGGTCCACTAGTCCCATGGACTACTTGCTTCCATGAATGTTTCACACTCTATTTCTTACATTAATCAATCACTCTGCCTTCCCTCAGGTAAGCTCTCTTTGCTTTGAGTCTCTGAGCACCTGCTCTCTGAGCCGTTACTTTGTTGGCCCCACCTCCACCTGCATTTAAACCGGGTCAAGGCATCGTTCCACGGGAGATACCAAAACTGCTCCCTTAGCCATCAGTGCGATGTTCTCCTCAATCCGCTCAAATGCACACAAACACTGGGCAGTGGAAAGGGAAGACCCTGGGAAGAAGTGAAGCGTTTGAATCGTGGTGCCGGGGAAGAATACCGAGTACAACGTGGGCGGCCAGAAGAACCCCCCCCCCCCGTCCCGCAGGAAGCACAGGGGGGATGCTCCTTAGAAGAGGGGCGGCTAGACCTCAGCTCACTGACTTTGGGCACGTCATCAGGAAAGACCAACCTTGACAAGCATGCCATATTTGGGGAAGTGGAGGGGTAGTGAAGACTCAGTGAGATGGGCTGACATAAGGGGGCCACCATGGGCTCAAACACACCGACGATGATGAGGACGGCGAAGGGCCGGCCACCCTTCCCTCCATCACACACAAGGTCACTGTCCGGGGAGCCCACTCGACAACAGCTAACAACAGCCAGAAGCCATGGACGTTAACGACCAGAAGAAACCTCAGGGGCCATCCATCCCAACACATTCATTCACAGGTAAAGGGGCGAGGCTAAGAGAAGGCAGGTGACTGGCCCAGGTGACTTCAGAACCAGGTGCTCTGATCCCCCACAGGGATTTGGGCCACAGGTCAGAGCAGAGCCCCGGGAAGGAGGAAGGTGGAGGCTAGATCTGAAGGGGCGTTACTGAGGCAGCTGTGTCCCCAGGCCCCGCATGGGGTCTTGCTCAGCACATACCCAATCCTTCCAATTCAAGGGTTAAAGGAAGAGGACGGGAGGGCCCCACAGGGACCCTGGGCCCTTTCACAGGGCGCCATGCTTCTCATGAGCTGTGCGGATTTTATTTATGCTTTCAGAACACTTCCTTTTCTAATTGTTGTTCTAAGCCCCTGAGGAAGTGAGGGCGGTTAGCTCCCCCACACAAATTATGAAAACGGCATCAGAGAAGTGAGCTGACATCTCCTCTCCCTGCTCAGGGCGCCATGGGACTTGGGTGCTGGGAGGGTCCTTAAGAAACAAGCCTGAGCCCTTTACGGCAGCACGTCTCCAGGCCTTTCTGCAGCCTGGGGAGAGGGGCTTCAAGCCGCCCGCCTCGAGGTGGATCAGAAAGCGCCTGCGCCACCCAGGGACCTCGGGAGGGTCCTCCGCGGTCCGTTGACAGACGAAGAAACTGGGCGCCACGGAGGGGAAGGAAAGGCCGTGCGCCACCGACCTGGGCCGGCGGGCGGCCGTGAAGTGCTCCCTGGGAGGCTGAGCCGCTCACCGGCCACGTCAACAGCTGCCTCCACACTCTGGAATCTTCCGGGCCTGGGAAGTCGAACGCGGAGGAAGCGCAGAGGGAGGCCTTGAACTCGGCCCGCGGCGCCTTCTTCCACAACAGAAACCCTTCGCCAGCTCCGTCTGAACAAACAGCCCTCCAGTCACCACAACAAACGAACGAACTAAGAAACCAAACCCACTGCCATGGAGTCCCTTCCGACTCAGCAAGCTCGTCGGTTTTCCCAGGCAGTACATCTTCATGGAGGTAATTGCCCAGTGTGCCTTCTGCAGAGTGGCTGCTGGGTTTGAACCGCCAACCTTCTGGTGAGCAGTCAAGTGCCTTAGGCACCGAGCCACCAGGGCTCCCCTCAGAGCCCCTCTCAAACCCCAGCTGCCCTCCGTGCACCCCTGCAGCTCCTCCAGCCCCTCCCCGCCGTCTTCCCAGCATTCCCTTCCCTGCGGCCTGGGCTGACTTCCTGGGGGGGTCTGGGCTCCCTTGGAGTGAGGAGGCAGCTGTGCACCTCAGCGCCTGGCCCGTGTCACCTCACGGGCGAGACCACTGCTCCTCAAGGAGCCCTGAGGGTCCTAGCAGAGCTCCCGGCCCCCACTGCGGCCTGAGTGGGTGGCAGTGGGGAGAGGCCCCTGCAGTCCAGTCTCACAGCCACCAGCCGCGGAACTAGGTCTCGCGCCTGCGGTGAAAAGCCACCCTGTGGCTTCCTGTTTTTTAGTACAAAACCCACACTCACGACCTGTGGTGCCCTCTGTAAGGTGCCTCCTGCTGTCCACCCACAATTGGACCTGCCACCGAGGCCCCGCAAGCCGAGGGCACCACCCCACCACGCCCCGTCTCTGCTCAAGCACCCCTCAGGGGCTGCCCCCGCCTCCACTGACATACCCCTCTCCTCACGGCCTCCCCAAGCACTCGTCAGCCCCCAGCCTCCATTGGTACCCTCTCCTCCTGGTTCCCCTCATGGTCTCCTTCAGCCTGAACTTATCTCAGTCCTGTTTTTGTATGATCACGTGTCTCCCCACAGGAAGGCAAACTCCACGAAGGCACGGGCCTTCTTGGGCCCCCGACCTTGCTCAGTGCCTAGTACCCTGCAGGTGCTCAAATACTGGCTGAGCGAGTGGACGAGTCTGTAGAACAAGGTGAACCAGCACCCATTCAGGAAGCCCATGGTCCACCAAGCTTGGGCCCCGTCCCACAGAGTGAAGGAATGAGCTGGTAAAGCAAGGTGAACCAGCCCAGCAGGTACCCTGTGGTCCACCGAGCTTGGGCCCCGTCCCACAGAGTGAATGGACGGATCAGTAGAGCGTGGTGAACTAGCGCCCTTGCAGGGACATAGCAGTCCACCATGCGTGCCGTCGTGCAGAGCACACCTGGGCCCGGGTCTGCAGCTGACTCACGATTCCAGGCAGGGCCTCGAGGACAGAGCAGACCCAGGCCCCACTGGCTAACCTGAGTGCTGTGTAATCCCAGACACCAAATGCAGTTTGTTTCGCCGGAGCCCAAGGCAAAACAGCGGCCTGGACTCTCCACCTGGAACTGGATCCCCACCGATGAGCATAAGCGCAGGCCAGTGCTTCCCCCAACGTCCTCGGTCCCGACAGTGGGGTCTCCCAGGGCTGGATCTCCCGGCCCCTAAGCCTCCCCGCTCCTTCTTCCTTCTACTCGCAGTGACGAGGGCAACGGGGACATGAACTCCACCCGCGCAGGCTAGACTGGAGGGCAAGGGCCCAGTTCTGCCCACGGCCACCCGATCGGGCTCAGCCCAGGAGCAGGGTGTCTGTCAGTGAGGTTCACACTGCGTTTCCCAAAGAGCTGAAGGGCCCATGCCAGGACCCCTAGCTCCAACCAGCACACACTGAACACAGAGCACGGGACGGAACGTGTGTTTACTCAGGAAGCAAGCACAGACGTGGAGCGGCGTGCTTCATAACGTCCACACGGGGCTGGAGATAGAAAAATAGAAACTCTGCAGAAAGCAGCGCTGCTCAGGGACGGAGAGGGTGCCGCCACACCCCCGTGAATGCCACCCCCGCCATCATCCGGCTTCTCCCGGCACAAACAGGGACGTGCCTCTCTGCACGTGCATCACAGAAAGGGACCCAGAGCCTGGACCTCGACGAGGCACTGCCCGCAGGCCACCGCGCTGGGTGCTTTCTAGTCATACCCCCAGCAGCAGCCAGGCTGCCACATGGGCGGGGAGCGCCAGCCCCGCTCCGCCGTCTGGCCGCCTGGCCAGGACTCCTCCAGCCAGACCCGGGGCCAGCGGCCAGCAGCCCTGCCCCATGCACTCCCTCAGATGCGCCGAGGGATGAGCAGAGAGAGACGAGAGACAGAACTGCCAGCCCAGGCTGGGTGAAACCGCCTGTCCAACCTGCAAAAACCGATTCTCCGGGAGCCGAGACCCTCAGCTAGAGGCTGAGCCACCGGGCGGGAAGACCCAGGACTCTCAGAAACTGACCGTGAAGCACCTGCTCGCTGGTCAGGCTTCAGGGAACGAGAACAAGGACACGCGTGCCACCCACTCTCTGTGGCCGGCTCCTCAGTCACCACGTTTCAGTGCCGCCCACTGTGTTACACCCCCATCTGCTGGACTCTTGAAGCAGGTGTCCCCAGTGGAACGTTCCGTGAGCTTCTGATGCAGAGGCCCGTCTCCCGGCAGCACGCTGCCAACAGTCGCTGCTTCGCTTTGGGAAGGTTAGAGAACTGACCCGGAGGGAACAAGCGTGTCTCCCCACACTCAGCTCAGGACGTCTCCTGGGTCCTCATCCTCGTCTCAGAGACCCTGCCACCTGAACGGCTGAGCCCCACTGAGTAAAACTACAAAAATAAAAGCGTCAGCACCGAGACCCTCCTACCCTCCAGGTGGGGCTCACTCTGGATCCCCTTGGAAACGCACGTGCATCTGGTTTACCGACATTTATTTAGATTCCCAGTGAAAAGCTCTATAAAATACAATAAACCATTGGGGCTGTAAAAGGCATACATCCTGGTTGCATATGTTACATACTTTATTCTCAGCATACAGTCCGTCCGTTGTACTGCGGCTGCTGTGAGGTTCGTGCTCACACAGGCAGACTGCAGATGCCACAGGCGAAGCGGCTGCCCCAGGTGGGAAACCGCAGCGCTCCACCTGCCTCCTCGCGACCCCTCCGCCTGCCCACCGGGCCGTGCGTGCTGCTTCCCGAGTCTGTCCAGCGAGTGATAAAGGAACGTGTACGGGACGTTAGCTAGCAGTGTCTGGGTATCGTCAGCATGCAAAGTGGCCGTTTCTGGTCTCACAAATAAAAGTCAAACGTGAGGTCACACTTCCCCATCTTCTGCTTGTACACCAAGTCAAACTTCTCGTTCATGGACACGGTGAAGATGTCCTTCCAGAGCCCGACTCGGCCTGAAATGCGAGAGAGAGCACAGGTGGTGGGTCCACTGCCCCCGGGCCTGGGGAACGCATCTGCGTGGACAGGTGGATTCCTGGGCCCCCCGCACATGGCCTATGACGCAAGACAGGCCGTCTGGACCACAAACCCGCCGGGTCCCCCAACGGTGAAAGGGCTGGGTGTGGCGGAGTACGGGCTGAGCCGGCTTGTCGCTGGGCCTGTTAGCTGGGCAGCCACCCCGCTGGTGAACTGAGTGCTCACAGCCCCTCTGTCCTGGGCTTCACTGAGGGCTCACTGCAGAAGGCCCGGCACCTGGCCCAGCTGCCCAGGGGATGGGCGCTATCTGCCCAGTGACTGTACCGCTGTGGGCAGCGTGGGAACACTGTCTTCCCTGACACGGCTGCCCACTCAGATGCCACAGCCCACTAGGACTTCATTTGCTTCTGGAGAACTTGGAAAAGGACAAAAATCACCCAAAGGCAGGAAATTCTGTGGCCAGCAGGACACCCTCAGGGCTGGGTCGAGGGCGAGATTTGGAGCTTGCCTGTCCCAGCAAACCCTGGGCGGGGATTGAAGCGGACACAACCGTTGCTAAAGATCGTGTCGGGGGGACTCCCGGGCCACGAGCCAGCATCGGCCCTGTGGCTCTGCCCCAGCCCGGCCCAGCGTGGCAGGCGTGGAGGAGGCTGGCCTCACACGCCACCATGCAGGCCGCAGCCCAATCTGGGAGCAGGACTTCGAGGGGAAGAGACAGCCCGAGTGACAAACACCTCAGAACTCCCTTCCTTGTTGACTGCCCCATCCTGAGTTTGCCTGCTCAAACACCGCTCGTGACCACAAAGCTGTCAGGCACGGCTTCCACACGCCTGTTACTAAGCTGTGAGTGTACCACACACAGCTCTGCCTCCCAGGGTCCTAAATGACCGGGGGCGGGACATGGGGGGAGATAGGCTCATCTGGAATGGTCCCACGGTCAGCATCTCCTCAGACCGTCCCCAAACACCCTTCGTCAGCGCCCCAATGCCCTCCGTGCCCCGGCAGAACCTCAGGATGAAACACACACCCCGAATGCTGAGCCAGCACTTCCACAGGACTTTCTCTTGGTGACGGAAAACTACCTCCCAGGGCTGGAGAGCGGAAAACCAAGAAATGTTTTTTCTCCTGCTACCCTCTCATGAGACCACAGGGACAGGGTTAGAAGCTTCTAGAGCAAACACACATTTCTCCATGAGTACTTTTCTCAGCTGAGGCAGCTGAGAGCCCATCCAAGGCATCACCTACCTGGTTAAGGGATGGGAATCAAGACAGTGCAATGCATGATGGGACATGAACCAAACTTAAGCAACGTGGCTGCTGCTCAGGCCCCTGCATCCACCAACGCAGGAGGTCTTCTGAGCAAAGAGGCCATGTGCTAAAAGAAAACAAAACCAAAGACCGGAAATAAAGCAAAACCAAGGTAAACAATGATAAAGCCGCCGCGTCAGAGGAGCATATGGGCAGGCCGTATGTCCTTGACGCCTCTTTTCCACACAAACGAACCAAAAGCGGTATTTTGGGGAAAGTCACATTCAAGGGTAACAAAACACAGTGAAAGCAAAACTGAAAAAGAGCAAATAAATTTTAAATAATAAATATTTGTGAAGATGCAGCCAGGAAATAAATTAGAGAGCACGTTGGTTGGTGTCAGCTCACTTCTCCTGAAGAGCGACTGCTTGTTCATTACTGCACTTTCTACCGGGCCCTTAGAGCTTCTGTCAGTCTGACGGGGCGGGCGTGTACCTCCCCTTCACAAAGAGGAAGAGGAGCGGGAGGAGCCAGCACCCCCACCAGGCACCGTCAGGGCACAGCCACGCTGACAGGACCAGCGCTGGGTCCCCTCCCTAAGTTGCACTGTGCGAAATGGCCCCCCAACACACTCACCACCTGAGCAAGTTCAAAGTCAGACAGCTGGGGCTGCCCAGGAGCACTGCTCCCAGAGGCCACAGGATCTGACCTACCAAGGGCACGGCCAGGTGGCCCAGGCCACCCTCCAGGGTCACCATTCAGGGGTCTGCAGCAGCACGGTGTCTCCAAGCTCTCCACGGAGCAGCTTGAGATACTGCAGGCTGAAGGGCAGGGGGTGCACCCTGGGTGCACTGGGAACCCATTCCTGCCCGAGCAGTAGCCCCAACTAAACTGCTTCACA